GTTTTCAGGATTTTTTGCCACAGAATTAGTGGCGGAATCACTGAACGAGAAGAGACAGAGACTGAAGAATAGGAATAAAACAAAATACATATTCATTGAACACAACCCTTGAAACGAGTTTTTAAAAGGTCTGTTAAATAACTAATAACTAATTACATAAAATAACTCATAATATACCATAAATTATGGTCCATAATTAAAACTAAAATTAATTCCGATAACAAGTCTATAGCCAATAACGAATCAAACTCCACCTTTAATTGTGTATAAAACGTCAATATTTGTCAACTATTTGTCAAGAATTATAGATTAATTATGATATAAAATAACTCTTTAGACTTACTGGTTAGTGATGATATCATATTTATTATATGAAATCAACTCAAGTACTTTGGGGTCTAACCTGGTACGTTAGGTTCATCAGGAGTTATAAGAAATTTATGAGATTAAATAAATGAAAAAACTTTTCAAAACTAAATAATACACAAATCACCAGATTATATCGCTAACTAAATTTCAAAATTGCTATTTTTGCATTCATTATATTAAGTTATTATTAAAGTATAATCAATAAACCATCACATAAACGATTGGATTAAAACATTTTATCAGCTTATATTAAATCTAAGACTTATATTAAAACCATTATTTATATTATAATGTTAATTATATTTTTTGAATATTATCGATAAATAACACAATAAATAAAGAATCGATTTTTAAATGTTATTTATATTTCATTCTAAAAGATACAGTAACAGGCAAAGGGTAATTTAATATTCATAAATTTTATAAATTCATATTAAGAAATCATAAGTTACATATAAAAATAAAGAAATACTGACTCGGGAGTAATATTTTAAATGCTTTTAATTTAACATGATACATTGTTAATAGATTATGTACACTAACAAGTGTTTTAGAAAGTTATGTTAAAAACTAATGAATAATAACATAAAACAACTCATAATATAGCATAATTTAAAATAAAATTAATTCCGATAACAAGTCTACAGCCAATAACGAATCAAACCCCACCTTTGATTATGTATCAAAAAGTAAACTATTTTTGCATTTATTATAATTATTGAATTGATAAACACTACATAACTGATTGGATTAAACACGTTATAAACTTTTATTAAATCTAAACCACTTTGCGTCTAATTAAAGTCCACTAAGACTTGCGTGTAACTCAAAATTTCAATATTCAAATTCCTATGCTCCAGGTCGTTGAAAAGTTTGACTCAACCCATAGCTCCACCTATGGGCACGAGTGTAGACCCAAACGCAATGCTATTTAAAGGCTGAACACAGTCTCAAAACACGTTGTCTTTCCGTTACATTCACTGAATGTGAACTCAAACCACGTTTTCATCGCTTTCTAAATGCAATTTGCGTTCATTTTGTCGATTCGTATCTAAAAACAAGATAATCAACGGCTAAGACATGGGCTCGAGATATAACTTCAAGAGCATTACAGTGGTTCCGACCACCAAAGACTTCATCGATATCGTGTTGTCGAAGACGCAGAGGAAGACACCGACTGTTGTCCACAAGCACTACAAGATATCGCGGATCAGGTCCTTCTATATGCGAAAAGTGAAGTTCACTCAACAGAACTTCAGAGACAAATTGGATGCCATTGTCACCGAATTCCCCAAAATGGAGGTAATGTTGTCCACAATCGGTGGCCATCGGAGGCATTGCAGACATGCCTTCGTCAGTCACTTCTAGCTATGAATGCCTTTACTGTTAACCATTGATAATGAGCCAAATGATGAACCAGTCCACCAACTCGTAGGTCACTTGTGTCCGATGAATGATTCACTGGCTGTGCACCACTCTGACCATTGCCCTACCATTTATCATAAATAACTTATACTTATATGATTTGATCCATTGCTCGGAACTGATGTGTAATTTGTTATATGCCTTAACAGGAAATCCATCCATTCTTTGCGGATCTGATAAATGTCTTGTACGACAGAGACCACTATAAGCTGGCTTTGGGT